ATCATAACATCTGTGACAGTATTCTTTAACGGGATATCAACAAACCAATCAAGGTCATAGCAGCCTCACTGTTATCTACCACTTCTCAATTCACATATGCAAATTGAAATGATATTGTTATTAATCAAAGCTGCCACTCAAGTCACCGAACAAGTAGGTCATAACATGCCCCTGTGATTTCATCTGATGACAATTATGTATCAAGCTTTTCTTTCATCTTGGCACCATAGCAACACTGCCTCCCCCGGACACTTGGATTCAACCCAGTTTAAAAAATCCAGGTACGGTTCAGTGCTGCTTCCCTAAATCCATACATGAGCTTGAGAATGTCAACACGTGCCCGCTGGCTGCTAAATCAATCGACCAACCCATCAAAGAGCTAACAGTGGAAGGGGCGGCTGATCAATATTGCCAGTAGAGCGTCAGGCTTGATGATTTAGTCTGGTTCATCAGTACTTAATCAGATCTTTAGAGCTGGTGGGAAGACAGGGAGGTGTCAGGATAGATCCACATCCAGCCACACAGGAATTCACCTGTTCGGGAAAGCACCGAACAAAGACAAAGGACTTCCACAAATCCAGATAGAAACTGAATTCTGATGAGTCCAAATGCTCACAGTCGAAGACAAGGATCATTCCATTCCAGCTATATGGAGGTGTTTAATGATGTTAGTTTGTCTGACAGATGTGTAGATCGAGGCTGCCGTGGTGGTTGGTGAATTCTAATGTTATCACTGATATTATTATTTGATTGATGAAATAATCTCCATATATCTAAATAATCGTTGATTTCAGGGTTGAAAAGGCCACAATGTGAGGGAAATGTGTGAATGAGTGAACAGTTTGTTCACAGTGAAAAACTCCACAGGGTCCCTTCAACAAGAGCGGGTGCTGTCGTTAAGCCGCTGAGCGACCCATTACGTGGAACAAAAGGCGATTGCTGACCAAGGGGCAACCTCCGGTCTCGAAAAATGAAGCCTATGCGGGAAGTAGAAAAAACTGCAGTTCCTCGAGGTTCCTCTTGAGGCTGGCTGCAGAAGCGCCGGAAGTGCCATAAGCCCACAGCCAAAAAAAGCCCGTTTTTACCACAGGAATCAACATGTTTACAGCCTGGTTCAAAAAACGAGATATATCTGAGAAGTTGACGGCCCCTTCTCCTCACACTGTGGGGGGGGGGGGGGGATTTTTTTATAACTCATCGGATTTTATTCTATTAAGGAAAACGGCTATGCCCATATTTGGTTGTGTCAGATTTGATTGACAGCTCTGTAAGTGATAGCTTCGGTAAATTATATAGTAGTGTTATATTTACTGCTTATTCATGTGTCGGTATTTATATTTACGGACCTAGCTTGTTTAGCGTTAGCTTGTAAACCAGTCGGCTAACTGTGTAGCTCATTATTTACATTATTTACGGTCAATGGTTTAGAAATGTTTGTTGTTAAGATGTTGAAAATAATGAGTTTGTGTGATGTTAGAAGCTAAAGGTTCACCTCGGTGGTTATCTGATGTTATGATGAATGTTATACTCCACGTAAATGTGGACATTAAAAAACAAACTTTGTGTAGTAATTATCCGTCAGTAACATAAACTGAACTGAACCTAATGTGCTGTGTAGGTTATAGAGGATGACATTAATGTTACATGGTTGATGTAGTGTCTTAAGATTTGAGCAAACTGTTACCAAATAAAAAAAATGCACTTTGTAAGAGCATCTGTAACCATTAAGAACTATATTAATAACCATATTAATTTTCACTGAACTCATACACAGAATATAGCAGAAATATAAAATATAAATAACATATGAAATGAAAATAAGATATAAAGCACATAGATATAAAGTATAAGAAATAGTTTGAAGAATACAGCCATGTACTGAGCTCATAAATGAGCTACTGTATGTTCTGTACTAAAGCACAGAGACTGTTAATGATTTAAATAATTCAGGTTATATTTGTTTCATGTAAAGATGAAGTACTATCCACAATAAACTGCTTAATTTTTCCTCACACAAAATCTGAGGCAATTTGATGTGGAATATCATTGTGTGAGTGAGAGAGCTGAAAATAGCACGATTACAATAATCTTTATCTTCTTAACTTTGAATAGATGTTGATTACCTGAATACTGTACCTTTGTTGTCTGGGTAGTACACTGTTGAATTTATAATGTGCTCTTACACACAGATGAATACAGAAAAATAGATGAGAACAAAAAAATGATTTAATGAATAACTGATATTTTCTCTCTTTCTTTGCCATCCTGAAGACCCTCACTAAAAGTCCACGTTCTTCTGGATCCATGTCACATGCTCAAGCTTCTTCTGAATGACTTTTCAACAGTCAAAGTTTTGCTGAGAGAAGATGGCCAGCAGATAAGACAGCAGTACATGAAGGAGCTCCACAGGCTTCAGGAGGAGGAGGAGGGTTTGCACCTTGGAAGACTGTATTCATGCTTCAGCTGTTCAAATAAAACTAGATCTCCTCCAAACAACTTGCAATCAAACCATTTTCTTCCCATTTTAAAACCCTTTGTCCAGTTTAGATGAGAGAAGTTGATATTATGTGATATTGATCTGGGAAGACTACATTTCTAAATCATTTTTAACTGTGTTTTTATTCACAAGTTATTGATCTTATTTACTCTCCATGTATCTTGATTTAAGAATGGGGCTGTGTTTAAGGGCAAATGTGGCAATGACTCTGTTCCATCCCACTTTCAGAAATGAACTACATTAGTATTTATCAAAAGAATAAGAAGTTGTGTAAAAGTAGACTTCCTTCCCTAAGCTATTGAGTTGAGCATTAATGCACATTTTAGTCTTGTCATTTCAAATCTGAAATGTATACTCATAAGTAGACATAAAGGAGTGCATTTATATAGAAATATTTATTTAATCTGAAAAACAACATTAAAAAAAGTCTGTTTTTACAGCAGAGATGAACATGTTTACAGCTTGGTACAAAACAAACAAATAGGTGTGATTAGCTCATGTCTCGATGGACACACACTGTACGGGGGGGTGAATGTTTTGATGACTCATCAGTTTTGATTTGATGAAGGATAAGAGTTATTCACAATAAGGCGTGTAGCTGACCAGCTTCACAGGCGGGTGCAGTGTAACGGTTTGTCAAGAGGCTTAAAACACGCCTCAGCTCCAGCTCTCAGCTTGTAGGTGACATCACTCAGGCCACCCGGGGGAGACCTCCCTCACAGCGAGCTGTTGAAGAGAAGCAACTGAAGTCCACCCCAGAAGAACCAACAAATACAGATGTTGTTGAGGCTCAGGTTTCTTCCTCTGTCTCTGCAGCTCTCTGGGCACCTCGACGGACCAGTCACCAATAATCCACACTGTGTCTATAGGAGAAATACAAAGGTGTTCAATTAATGCCTCAGACAAGACAAAATGTACAGTTAACTACATGTGACAGCTCAGGGTGTTTTTTTGTTATGAGCCACATCTGCAGGAATAATATTGAACAAGGTAGCTGCAACTCATCATAATAGATGCCAGTCTTAAACACTATTTTTTCTAATACTTAAAGTTTTTGTGTGAAGCTGACACTGTCCACAGACTCCATGACTTCACGGGGTTCAATAGAAAACAAATGTCTTATAATAAATACTAAATAATTATTTTTCAATTGTCATGTTCACCTCATCGCTGTTGACATCAGTAAATATAAGACACAGACATTCCTCTTTTTGTCAGAACAGTAACATGAACTGTATGCTTTGTAATATTGATTTTTTCTGGATGTCTCATTTATTTACAGTTTATGGATAAAACTTTGTTAATGTATTTCTCTGCTAACACTGACAAAGTCTAACTGCTCTGACAAATAACTAATAACCATGATTGTATATTTAAAAAAGTGTAGTTTTAAGACTTTAATTAAATATTTGGGTTGAATATAATTTGTTTTAACTGTGTTGTAGAAAAGTTAAATGTTAACTTACTGTTTGTAGAGTTTTCTCAGGATGAGCAGGAGTAGGGGATGATAGCAGCCTAGCTGTTAGCTATGCTGTCAAGTGGACTGCTAACGTCGAGCTGAATGGGCGGAGTTAAGTCCCGCCGGTCCCGCCTTACTGCTGTCGTTAGGTTGATCCGAAGTTAGGTTGAAACTGCAAATCCAATATGGATGCGGCCGTCGATTGGACTCATTTTCACAGACGGGTCAGGGTTTGTCCAGTAATATTTACAGTCTATGTTGCTGACACACCTAGAGTGGACTGAACAGCTACAAGCCACGCTTTTTTTAATCCAGTACCATTTGTTTTTTATTGTCGCTGACTTTGAGTTTTATTTTTTTGTCCCACATGTTCACAACGGTCCAATTTTGTCCGTTCCACTTGGGAACTAAAATGTGGCGTTTTTGTAGATCATTATTGCTGCGTCAGGCTTGATCGATTTAGTCTGGTTCATCAGGACTTAATCAGATCTTTAGAGCTGGTGGGAAGACAGGGAGGTGTCAGGATAGATCCACATGCAGCCACACAGGAATTCACCTGTTCGGGAAAGCACCGAACAAAGACAAAGGACTTCCACAAATCCAGATAGAAACTGAATTCTGATGAGTCCAAATGGTGACTTGAGATAACAAAATAAGCCGGCTGTGTAGCTCCAACAAATCCAGCGTATCCCAATCACATCGTGGTAATGTACATGTGTTATGTGCTGTTTGGACTTGGGGAACAGTCTTTGCATTTCAGCATTTATTGTTGAAACCAGTTAGAAAAAAACATTCTCAAGGAGCTGTGATTTAATAAGAAATTAAATACTGAAGCTTTAGCATACATTATACAGTACATACGTTATATTTCACTGATCTAGTAAGTCTTCATAGTGAGACCTCGACAAACAGGCTCACACAAGCTTTTGAGAACAATGAGATCACTTTAAAAAGCTGGCCTTTATCAAGCCTCACTTTGTCCCTCCTGCAGTGGGCTCATCTCTTCATTGAGCTGAATATGAACTCACACCAACACATTGCAGGTTGACTTTGAGTTAACTTTATTTGTAAGCACAGATAGAACAAGAACAATTATCGCATTATTAGATACTATTTGTTTCCCTTTTTGTGCGCTGAAGCTTCCAATCTCTTCTAGTGCTAAAGCATGATTACATGTGAACTATTGCAGTAAATCAAAAATGATTAACATGAAAATGTTCATTTAGATATAAAGGGATATTCTGTAAAGAAAAGTTGGACAAACATTTTTTTTTAAATCTTAATTACATGGAGAATTTGTAGGTGAAGAAAACAAGCAGCATGGTTTGTTTAGTAAAACACAAAATGATATGCAGGAGGAAGAAAATAGAAAATGTCACAGACTCTGTTTTCAGACTCTGTGAGACAGTTCACCGCTTGATAGCATGAGCTGCAGAATAGGTCAACATGATATATTCCCCTTTCTGAAACAAGTAACATTTTTCAGCTGGGTGTTTCTTTTGTCCAATTTATTTTTCCCCAAGACACTGAACAGTTTTACATTTTCATAAGTATTTTTTGGGAATCACCGCTGGCTCAGACAAAGAGAAACACTGCATCACAGTTTACATTATTGCATGATTTGTTGCCATCATGTGCAAATTTACTCTTTCAGGAGAAGGGCAAGGGGAATGGAGAGGGGAAACATGATGAAAAAGTGGATTGATGGATAGATGGATGAGGCAGGGGAAAGCTGATGAACAACAAGAGGAGGAGGGAACTTTACATTATTGTGCAACAGCTTGTCAAATATTGCCATTCATCTCCATCACGGTCAACACATTTCAGACACAGACAGATAAAGCCTGGAGGTACACTGAGGCATGGCAGTGGGTGAAGAATCAGTGTTCTAGTTAACTTGGGCATCACTGCCCAGTATCGGTGCATAGTTTAAAAAGGTAGTGGCGCAAAAATTGCAGGAAATAATCCAGTCAAGAACCAACCGATATGTCAATGTTGTGCTTGTATCGATGCTGTGCTGAGGATGCACAGACGTCTTTGTAAGCTGTTGTAATGTCTGTTCTGGCTCACTGTCCACCACTGCATGCTTCACTGTAGTACAAGCAGACTGTAACAGAAAGGGATCTCAGTTTTTTCTGCTACTTTCACTGGTCAGGGTGCTTAACATTCAGGCATCGAATTCTCTACAGATCATTTGAAGATGCAGTATTAACGACATCGTCTGACAGCTGAGAAGTTGGATATTGCATTTAATTGTTTTGAAAGGTTGCCATGGAGACACCAATGTGCTTGTTTGTCCTTAGAGTCGGGCAGCGCTCAAAGGCTGGGAGTGTTAGCGTGAATATTTTTGCATCAGTGCAAGTGTGTTTATGAATATGTAATTTCTTTTAAAATGTGTTTTCAGCTCCGGTGGTGCAACATTATGGCGGCTGGTTAACTTGGTCTTAAAATTTTGCTCGCATACACTTACAGACATTTGGGTCCATCAATGGAAACACACACACACATTAGAAATATAATGCCGAGCGCTGCTAAGGGAGTCTCCAGCGTCTCTTATTAGTCCGGCTAATTTCACATCATTTGACAGAGAATTAATTCATAAATTAATCAGCACAGCCTCAGAAAATAACACCACATGCTTCCATTACACCACCATGTAATCCCATTTACACCTAGCACTAAAATCCCTATGCAGACAGAAGACCATTCACCCTAATCTGTGGTTGGTGCTGGAAAGACAGAGTGGAACCACGACTCCGACAACTTTCCTCACACAATTTATAAAGTGACATTAAAAAGGCTTTACACCTTGTTAAATGATACAACAGATAGAGCAGGCCCTACAGCAAGCTTTGGATTAAGAGCCTCGTTTGAATCAGCTGTAAGAAGTACTTTGTCAAAAAATCACATCTTTAATCCAATTTGGGTGTTTCCAACATGGCCGACAGCTTCTTTTCAACAATGACGCTACAATGTGCTTAAGCTTTTGGATTTTGAAGGCAGGTGTTAATGGGGAACATTTAAACACCAGTACAGATGTTTCACACACACACACACACACACATCTTCTCCAGTTACTGATACAGTAACAGAACTCTTTTTTTCACTTTGGTGCAAACTGGGCTTTTGTGGCAGGTAAACTTTGTGTCCCAATCAACCCCGAAGTGGTGCTGCTTGCTTTGTTGTGCTACTCTTGTTAGGAAATCTTTGTGAGAACAAGTACAGGTTTGGAAATAAATTGAATTTTTTTTTTTTTTTTCAATCTTGGGAAATTTACTGTAGCCTACCGTTTTTTTCTTTTCGCAATTATTCTCCAATAACAAATTCAGTCTTAATGCATTGTGATTAATGTCAGAGACGGATTATGTATCGCTAAGGCGAGAATGCAAAAAAAAAAAATACAAATGTTCACAAATGAAAAAGAAAAGCTTTTGGTAAAACGTTCTCAAATCTAATCTTCTCTTCCTGACCTCGTTGATTACAAAGACATTAAGTAGTCATCAACACGTTTGAATATATTAGGCGACATCAAAAGCGTAGAAAAGTGAAATTGTGGCATTGAAGTGCAAATAAATGTTAGAACCCTGTTAGTGTTATTAATGGTTAGCTCTTTTTCTACTACATCACATTTAAGACTAGCTAGTTGGTAAAGGAATGAACCACAATCCCGATCTATTACGTCTTTCTAAATCGCTTCCAAAGCTTGACGGGACATTTAAAGTTGAACAGAAATATATATTCTTCTTTGACCTAATCACCACAACTAGACAATACATCTGCTCATGGAAGAATTCACTCAAGTTTCATTAGTAGTACAATTCAATAAGGAATTCCTTTCAAATTTATATATTAGTAAGGATTTTTATATCATCAACCATTCACCCGCCCCCCCTCTTCTTTATTTTTTGTCCCCGGTGTAATCAGCCACAAATTGGAGCAACATTTAACCACAGTACTTCCCCACAGCTGAAATTTGCCGTTAAGAAAAAGGATTCCTGGTTTTCAATCCCCCTGTTCCTCCACCTCAACACGTCCAGAATCAGATTGTCACTACTACTCATTACCCTCCTTCCCTTCCACCGCCCTCTCAATCTACTCCTCGATTTCCAGGATCAGGTCGTCTCCCTCCAGGGACGAATCGGTTGTCACATGGATCACCTTAACGGTTCCCGTCAGAGGAGAGTTGACCACCGTCTCCATCTTCATGGCCGAGAGGACACAGAGCGGCTGACCCTTCTCCACCTGTCGTGATTATGAATACAGGTCATGGAGCATTCAAACAGGAGTCAAGTGTACAGATCACTGCACAAGCAATGTAGTCAAAGGTTAACACCAAAAAAACGTCTCAAACATCAAACAAACACCGTTTTTCTGGATTAGCTTTAGAAACAACAAATGTAAGCAAGGTCTTTAAAGGTCATCAGAGACGTTTAGACAGCCAAAAACACATACAGCGAATTTATTCGTCCCTATTTAAAAAGGGACAGTTCACCTAAAGTCCAAATAACACCGCTGTTTTCTGCAGGTACTTTTAGTTTTTCAGGTTTGTTTCATTACATCCACCCTAACACTGCAGAGATCAGTGGAATTGACCTGAGTGAAAATCTCTTTTATACTCATCCTTTGAACAGGTTCTGATCATTATTTACTCACTTTATGCAGATGTCTTGTATACATGATTGTTGAGATTGTGTATGAAAACACAGTCTTAAAACTGTCCTTGTTATTGGGAGTGTTACAAACAAAACCAAGCCCCACACTTAAATGTCATGAGCAGGGAAGCATTTAAAACCATGATTTTAGATTTGATAAGGTCAGTGTTGCTCCTCTAAATAAAAACCCTCCAAATTAGGTAAAACTGGCAACATAATGATTGAGAATAAACATGATTATACGCAAAACCTAAGCTAGCTTGATGCTACTGCTATTGTGTAAGAATATATACTTGTATTGATCCGACCTGCTACCAAACCTGCTTGTTAGACAAGTAAAAAAACGCGAACAATGAACACACCTTGGATCCAACTTCAACTTTGACCTCCAGGACTTTTCCAGGCATGGGTGCTCCCACCTGACCCTTGATAGACTTCTGAGCCTTGGGATGGAACTTCATTTCCTGGTGGGAGGGACAAACACAGATTTCAAGCATCTATTCGTCTGTCCAGAGTTTCTGAGCCACCATGTTCCGCTCACATCCAACTGTTCACCACCAAAACAGCTTTCTGTGCCCACATCCTGAATCAGTTCCAAGAAACTATCAGTCCTTTCTCACTTTATTCATCATGTTTGTTTCCTTACAAATCTTTAAATCGTCTGATTCAAACCTCATGATCTGACTGAGTTGATCTCCAGAAGTTTTGGAGAGACAGCCTTTGTTTATTTTGCATAAACAATCGTCATCTGCTGACTTTTAATACAACCTTCATGTTTTTAACCCTTGCTTACTCCTGGACTGTTTTACGACATCATGATTTTTTGCATTATCCTACTCTTTACTTAAACTTCATTTTTCTTGCTTAATTAAACATTTATTAATTGCCTGATTTTATGCTTAGCAGTTTTTGCTGCATACATTGCACTTTATACAAAGAGTATATGAAGAGTGCGTACCTTCATGGCGACGGTGTCTTTTACTAGCACAGATCTCAGCTGTCCGTTGAGCTCAAAGAAGACCTCTCTCTGGCCGGCCTTGTTCAGGTCACCCAGGGCCAGGGCCTTAATATGCAGTGTCTTCCCTCTCTCCAGCTCCACCTGCCATGAATCAGAGGAGGAGGTTTGAACAAGTGGGGAGGACAGGAGAGAGAAGTGTGAAGGAGGAAGGCAGAGACATTAAATTGAGTTTGAAGATTGAAATTAAAACACGTTTGCCTAGCTCACAAGTCCAGCTAAAGCAATAAAGAGAGACTGCAGAGCTGGGTAACATTACAAAAGTGAAGCTGCTGGAGTGAGACAAACACAATGTTTCCCTCTCTTCCTTATTTATTTTACCCCCAGGCTCAGCTGGAATGTTTTCCAGCATGCAATTGGTGTAGGGCAGAGAAACATGCTCATTTAGCCGTACTGCGATTCAGCTTCTTATTAACTAAATCAAATCATGCGGTATCTGGTGTCCTTTTATTGCTCTGCATTATTAAGTGACTGTCTGTATATCACGTTTATCGCATGGGACTGGCAATGTAAAAGGCAGCTCTCCTTAATAAGCCTTTTTCACCGCAGATATTTCAACCTGTGAGATCAAACATTTATACACAACATTAGAAAGTGTTCTCAAAGATAAGACAGAAAGTCTGTATATCAAAGAAGGTGGTTCATAACATTAGAGAAGACTCTGTTTTAAACCATCACAGTGCACATGTCAACCCAGATTAATATACAAGACGTTGGTTGTGTGAGGATTAAAGTAGTATGTGGTGATAACTTGAAACCATGAGATTTGGATTGAGTTACAATGAATCACTGTACCTGATTTGCACTTCAGGATTTAACAAGCAAGAGAGATCAGCTGGCAGACTTTTTTTGGGGGGGGAGAAATATTAGAGTTTGCTGGGATGTTGATATAAACCTTATAATTACAAAAACTCAAACAGAGACAAAGACACTCAGAGTTATAAACCCATACTTTATGTTTTTCTCTCACACCTGTGCATTCACTACAATATTCTCATTGGAATGTATTATGGAACGTTTCAACACTAATGCAGCTCCACGTCCACACCGGACTCCCTCTAGAAGTGGACTGAGACCCTTCTTTAGTTCTGGTCTCAGTCAGGTTTAGTCCGCACCAAAAAGGTGTATTAACAGCTGTCACGCCAACACACACAAACCCATCCTAACCCTAACACAAACACCTGAGCTTTTCTCTCTAAAACAAATAGTTACGAGGTGAAGGCACCCTGATAGTTCACAAGAGCTTGAGATCTTTGAGACATGACTTGGGTTCAGCTAAGTTCATCTAAGTGGCTGTTTGAACTGTATTTTGACATGTTATTGACTGCAAATGGATTTAAGGGAAAGAGATAAAAAAAAAAAAAGTCTTGTAAAGACTCGGGATAAACACTGACTGCACAGGCTTTTCACCACACACACATCAACTCTGACACCAAGTACAGAGAAGTGCTAAAGACAGAATGACAATCTGAGAGATAAAGACGGAGACAGACAGAGCAGAAAAGAGATAAGACGGCAGACGGGAGGATATGAAAACATTTCCAGCCTTTAGTAGAGCTGTAAACTGTGCGCCTTCACCTGACACCTGTAAAAGTGTTGTTTTGAGACGGAGACATTACTCTCTCTCTGCACCAACACCAGACAGACGCTCCCTGTCTCATATCAATTCGGCTCATTTCTGCACTCTGTCTCACCACTCTCTCTCTCTCTCTCTTGACACAGGCCACTGTACTTCTTCATTTATATCACGCCTCCTATGCAATCTCTCATCTCGCTGCCCGGAAACGAGTTTTTCCCGTCCAACTTCACGTGTCTGGCTTTCAATCTCTCTGTCAGTCCTCCCATGTGTCACAGCTTTCCATTTTCTGTTATTTTTGACACCTATTTTCTGAAGGCACTCTTGTCTCTCATGCAGTTATTAATTTCGCTCATGTGCCTTTTTGGCGCTCTGTTTTTCCTCTGCAGAGTCTCTCCAGCTCTTTCACACCTGTTCTTTGTGTTTCCCACATCGGCTGCTGTGTCTCCATTGATATTCCAAACTTAGTCTCAGTACAAAGACGGAAATACAACGCTGCTGCAAGTATGTATTGATCTCAATTTCACTCTCTTCTTTTTGCAGGGTGCTCTGACTCTTTTGTCTTTTTCCCTCACTCTGTTCCTGGCAGCAAAACCTTTCTTTGCATTCTTTTCTTTCTCCGTGGCACTCAATATTTATCTCGCTGTTCTTTCTCCGCCCTCCTGCCTTTCACTGAACTTCTCTCCAGCTTGTGCTGTTTTGTCAACTCCTGGCAGCTCCCTGGATGAAAACAGAAAGTACCATCCCTTTTGCAACACTACATCACCTCGTAACTGTTCCCATAAAAAAAAATATAAACTGTCGCTTTGAAGAGTTGCGAAAGATTAATGAATCTTTTGAAGAGGATTTTGTCTGAGATGTAACCGTGTGTACGTATGCCAGTTTTATAGAGAGCCAGGAAGACAACTTCAGAGCACCGGTTCTATATCTAAATCATCACACTGCATTAAGTCTTCCACTTGTATAATTTAATCTGACAGGTTCACACACACTCAGCACTTACTACTACCTGCTGTTACTACTTATACCAAAGCGTTCATCTCCGCACTGGTTCCCTCCAATTAGCTGCTTCCTCTTGATCCACTTCCTTGTAAAATAGCAGTGCTCATTACGCTTCAGGTCTAAAGCACTTTAGCGGCTATTTAACTAAACAGCAACTATATAGAGGGGGATATAAGGATGCCACGATTAAATACGTCTTCTAATTTAACAACAGCTTCTGCAATAATCTCTAATGCTTGCTTTCTCACAGACCAAAGCTTTGTCCCAGTTCCACACATAGACAGGATATATGTAGAAAAGCTTTTTCAGTTCATTTCATTTGCTCACTTGTCCCCTGTGATCTCATTACTTCCATGATGCAAGCTTGGAATAAGTATGTGACGGAGCTTCTGGATAGAGCTCCAGTTGTGTAGTACACCGGCAGATGAACATTGCAGGGTTTAAATATTCTAATGGGGGGGGGTTAGGGATGTGTGATGTGTTGACTGAACGGTTCAACTCCCAAATCACCAGGAAAACTGAGAAATGAAGCTAGGGAGAGAGGTTGTACCAGAAGAAAAAAAAAAAATCACCCTTCACTTGTTGCTATGTTATTATTTACATAGTGTTATTATAGCCTACACGTTTCTCCACAGAAATGCCAGACTGGACTTTTATGTCAAATATCACACTGGAAGTGTAAGCAGACTTTTCTTTTCATGCATGTCACGTATTCTACTGATGTAGATACACACATAATGCTCATACATATTTGTATTAGAGTGAGCTCACAATGCATGTGTTGTGTCTAAGCTGAAACACAGCAACCCGTCAACACTCAGAGTGAATGGTCTGCTCTCCCCGGCTCTACTGCCCTGATGTGTACCAGCACATTTGGCTGACGGTGTGTCACTGGAGCAGTGCGTTGTTTTGATCGGTAAAATGGAGATCGTTTGATGTGGGGATGTCAGGTTAAACAGTTCTGTAAACATTCAACCAGCATAATTTGTGTAACCACACTCAGCACAAGACGTTAGCCCCGAACCACTTTGACATCGTTTAACCGCAGACGCTGTGATCCTGCTCGTTTTGAAAACTACAACTCATTATGAAAATGACTGCACAAGAAGATATATACTTGCTGTCTTACATTAAGACTAGTTGACTAGTCTGAATATAAATGTGTTCCACAGGGAAATCAGTTTCTAGGTCCCTAGCGTGCGTATACTTCCCTCATGTCAGCAGAACCGACTGCAGAGTTTGTGGAACGTTAACTCATGTTAGCGACACAAGCTGCTTGAATTAATATTTATCTGGAACGCATCAAGTCAGAGCAAAGGATGATTTTTGTGAATGACGGTTGAGAGCTCTGCATCCACCAGTTCATCTTTGCAAATTCTTTTTTTTTTTTACTGTAATTCAGAATCGTCCCCACACACTCACACAAACTAAAAAAAAAAATAGATTGAAATTAAATTGAGTAAAATTCTATCAAACTAAAACCTGACCTCCTCTGTTTTGGTTTTCTGTTATCAGACTTGCGGTGCATCTCTGGTGCATGAAGCATTGTCTAAACCTCACATCTCAGTGGTGAGAGTCTGCTGCGCTCTCCTCTATGAAGCCCTCACAGGCTGCCTGCATTTATTCAGAGAATACCCTCAAGCTTCTTCTGTCAAATTATACCTCGTTTACCCGTTTCTGCTTTAGAACCGCTTAGTGAAACTATCAATACGTGGCTCACCTCATGTCTTTGACATAACTTTATGAATGACTTGTGTTGCTGGTGACAGAGTAATGAGATCACAGTGGTAAACACAGCTCCATGTGTTGGTGCCAGTGAACATTAGCACTGACAAGGTGTGTATGACTGGCTCCATGTTTGTGAAAATCTGTGTTTATATTTCCATCAAACATGATTAATATTAATCTGAGTCACCAGCCTCAGTCAGCTAGGTCTGCTGTGTGCTTGCGTGGCTGAATGAAAGCCATGGACACAGCTGTCACCCTCGTGTAGGTGTATATTTGTGTACATCGATGCACTCTAAACGGTCTTCTCATCTTATTTCCTAACTGGCTTTTTGGTCTTCCTTAAACAACCTCAGAGATACAGACCTGAGTGGGATGTGTTCACAGCACTCATTTGTCAGAAATTGACCTTAAAGAACAATGTTGATACACTCCTCAGAATCTGGAGATCAGTATTTATAAATCTACAACACAGAGGAGGAAATCAAGTGGTTGTTGCCTCCTACCACATTCACAACACAAAGGAAAATGTTCCCGGCTCGCTGTTCACTCTTTCAATGATAAGACTCTTACTCTGGATTACCAACTGGCTGGAAATGAAGTGCTAAACAATACCAGCTGATTACTGTGAAAGCCTTTATATCTTCTTCCCACAGCAGCAACAACTCAGGGCTTTAGGTCGAGCTCAGCACTTAGACAGATTCAGTGCTTGGATCTATTTTGACCAAGATTTCCCGCTGCGTGCCTCACACTCTCGCTGAGCTAATAAACAGCTTTTGTTATAAATATATACAGGTAATGGTGTGCTTCTGCTGCAAAGGTCACCAGTAATGGGACAGTTGCCGCTTCTCTGCTGTCACTGTGGATTTAACCCTAACCCCGACAAACGCTCACAGGCTCACAGGCTCAAAGGTTTCTCTTCTGTCTAATTTTCTAAAGATAATCCATTTAAGATGGTTAGATTAATAAGCAGAAACTCACCTCTTCGGTTCATTAAATAACTTCTTTTTGCCTTTGTATCTCTGGCATTAATGTTCTACAAAGCAATTTCAAATGATGAATGCACATTTTGTTTTCCAATAATCTGTTCTCTCCATGAGTGTGCTCAAACAATACACATTCACTTTCCATAAAGAAATGTTTCAAAGCTTAATAGATGGAGGCCTGTGGTGAGTATGACTTCTAGCAACCTGCTGTTCACTAAGATCTCTTTAGTCACAGCTGTTATTACATCTATATCAACACTGCATCATGACAGTCTTAACACACGAGCGCCTACATACGTGTGCTTCTTTGGAGCAGCTTATAATCAAAGACCTAATGCAAACACCACCTGTCTGTTTATTTCACAACACTTGTTGTCTTCTGATTTGACGTCAAAACGGAGCAGGAACTGGATGTTACTTGGCCCCGGAGTCGGCCTGCCACAACATATTCAAAGTGACATGTTTCATGTTTACAAACTCACAAGCACACTTTTTAAGAGTTGAGGGATCTAAAGCTTCTCTAGTGATGCCCGTCTCTGTGTTAACATCCTCAGTGTGTCTTTATAAGAATAAGCACAGCTTTCAAATAACTGATCCAATATTAATCCCATGGTGTTCTCATAATGTGGGAGGAAGTAAAGAGATTTGTGCACACTGTTCCCGCTCATTAAATCATTCTTCTGAGATCATCAACAGATAAATTGAGTTAAAGGGAAAAACGCACACGTCCAGGATTGTGATAAACATCAGTGAGAATGAATGTGACTAGAGCGGACTACAAGCAGACTGATTACAGGAGCTTTTTCTCCCTTGAGGAATTCTGCAAAGTCAAAAGAGAGAATGAAAAACACAGAAACCTCCCACTGCACGTGACTGGTCACTTTGTTTTCAACCCATCTCCTACCTGCAGTGCTGCTAATCGGGACCTAATCTGGTGGGAGAGTACCCATCGTCATGACAACAGGGGGACACGTCTGTTTTACTTTGGTGATGAATGATGCTCAGCACAACATCAAGTGTCTGAAGTTCTAAAAATGACAACAGCTTTGATGGACAGGAGAAGACAGAAAGAGCAGCGGGGGAAGGTGAACACTGCAGGTATGGAAAAAAACAACAACAGTGAAGCAACTGGGAAATGTATGAATGACATGTAGTTTTTTTTTTTTACATGCAGTGTAAAATCAAATAACTGACAGGTGAGAGAGGACAAACACAAACAGTTTGTAAATGTTTCTGCAAGGAAAGCCATCATGCCATGTATCCGGCTCTTCTGTTTCTTTGAGTGTTGTTATGAACTAGTGTAGTTTGTATTAATTTGTAAAAATGTAATGCACAGCAAACAGCAAGCCCTGCCCTCAAACCAAACGAAGATACTCAAAAAGTGCTGAAGCTGCCAAGAGTCCTCATGAAAAATATAGTAAGGATTTATTCTAATCAGAGGTAGCTGGTCCGACTGTGGCTCTCATGCCAGATTTCTAATGATTGCATCAAAGCAACAGAGCCTGGGAGGATTAACGAGGAAGGCGGGTGAGGGGTCTGCTCATCTTTAGGGTCAGTATTAAATCAGCAAATGCAATGCGGACCCTGATTTTTTCATGATAATAATAATAATACAGCATCGGTTTCTCCCTGTGTCCCTCGTAATATGAAAATCAATTAACAGCAGGCTGGAAGCATTCTGCTGCAGCGAAATGAACGGGTAATTAAACGTGGCTGCCTTTGGCCGCTCTGAATCACTGTCAGTTAAATCTGTGCGTGTTACTGATAATGACAGAATTGAGACTAAATATTGAAAGGAGAGGGCTGATAAAGACACGGGTGATGTAAAATGAATGATGTGTGTCTGGGCTTTACAGAGAGAGGAATTATAATGACTGTGAGAAGAAAGAGGAGCATGAACGATGCAGTGTCAGCTGAGGAACCTTGGTGAATACAAACAGGTGGCTGTTAGTTTCCCCTTTTAATGTTGGCATGCACATTTTTACATCATCTATGCCCAGATATTTAAGAGATTTATCTCAATCAGCTATGAAACACTATATTAAAAAGGGGAAATTCAGAATTTCATCAAATGTAATTATCTTTAAAATGTGGATTAAAAAACATCTTAAATAGTGATGAAGTTCTACTGCTTGAGGATTATGTAGCTGTTTCATTTTGATCCTATGGTCAGGAGAATAAACGCAAAGTTTGAATTCTTATTGTAAATAACAGGAGCTGTGTGCATGCTCCAATTGAACGTTTCACTGAAGGGTTTTGTTGGCTCTAGCAGAAAACACAGCTTTAAGTTACTGAATGTAGAAATATTCATATATATCTCAAAATCATCTTAAACAGCATCAGCATCATGTTAAGCAGCTCCTCATCAAGCTCAGCAGAATCAGGCCTCATCTCCTCATATCGCCCTCACATCCTGCTGTTCAGACCAACATTTCCCCAAAGTCACGACCTCCTGTCGTTCAAAAACACACGCACACACTCCAAATCCCACACAAGGTCACAACAGAGCTGCAGTCAAAACATGTCACAGCCATCAGCTCTGACCTGTGTCACCTGCTTCAGACTGATGCCATCTGCTCATAGATACAGTGTCCCAAACGGTGTTCCCCTTACAGCTTTAGCACCTACATAACATTTCTTACTGAAGTATTTCATCCTTTTTAATTGTTGTTTACACCATCATTAAAAAACAAAAAAAAACCCAGTTGTGTGTGTTTTGGTGTACAAATAAAATCCTCCCTCACCTAATGTAAAAGTGAAGAGAATTTTTTATTTCACAGTTTCATGTTTTGAATCTCTAAACCAAGGAGCATTTCTTTGCCTGATGGCATACTGAGTGACAGCCTCTTGAGCAGCAAAGCAAACTTTCTCTTTGAACTGACATGTGATCCTGACATCTGTCGCCAAGGTTACCGTAGGTTGTCTCAACACTCTCTTTGGAATTCACTCTTCAATCTGGACTCCCAACAATCACTTTGGCTTGCGTTTTGCTCATCAAAGTGCTCACTGCTGTCATTCTCCTGAAATGTTCTCTGTCTGTGCCCAACTTTCCGGATAAAGGAAACGTCGTCTTCAAACCTGCTGTCTCCTGTTCTGAGGCAAACTCTCAATCAGCTCAGTAGACATCTTGCAACATTTCTACCGACTGCTTACACACGCATGTTTAAACCGGCCTGCTCATTCTTTTGTTACATTCTGGATGTGACAGCAAATTGGTACTTTGAAGAATATTCCCAGGAACATTTCACTTTCAGAATTTCTGTCTTTGCAGGCACAAGCGACGACCAATTATTATTTCCATGTTATATTCCTGTGCCTCACTAATGTGTTAGCATGCAAAGTGATTCATCTTGTTGTACTCCTTCATCTGGGCTGCATGTTCATCTGCCTCCCTGTTGGAGAGTAAATGGACATAACGGGCTGAAGAAATCGCTCTGATATATTTTGGTTTGAGATATTGGCCCTGAGCATCTTCCACTGCGCCGCTATGGAACATCATACAACAAAATTAATCTGTTATTTCTGTGCTGGAAGGCCGATGTGATGGCCGAAGGGATCACAAATGCTGTTTGTTGCTCCCCTGATAAAGTGTTAATATCTGAGTCCTCCCTTCTGTGTTATCAGCACTTCACCGTGACACTCCTTGCGCACTGCATCACACCTCTCTGTCTGCACTGATGGAAAAATCATTTCCTGCTGATAAAGTCCGCTCCCTATGGAACTGCTATTACTTTGGAATTAATTAAGTAGCAAAGTGGATTACAATATGAATATGAAATGTATTATTGTAGAATCAGTGATTATAATTGATTGATAACACAGCTTTTATTACACAACGTCTGTGAATTGTTCAAGTCGTTTTGCTGTGAAGTTTTAAGTTAATTCACTTTTTCCATTTTTCTGATTTTAATGTTTATTCTAAAATTCTGTGCGACACTGCAACACATTGTTACACAGTTCTCAAACTGTCAGTTTGAAGCTTGGATACAAAAAAACACCTGGATTTTTTCTAAAAGGCCGTAGTGTTACACATTTTTTTAAAATGTAAAATAAGAAAAGGTCAAACTATGTGATGAAATGGCTGAGATATCCTGACAGTCCAACATACACAGTAGGTAAACTTCCCAATGTAAATGTGCCCTTTCTACCCTTTCTGTCTAGTAGACGCCCTCTTTCAATCAAGCACTGGGTTTTCTGCTGAAACATTCTTCCTATTAAAATGTAAGTCTGTTACTCTTGGAAATTTGCGTCTAGGTCGTGTACCTCAAACTCTTCTGCAATCTTGGGTCCATCCAGGAACAGCCTGGTGCTGAGACAGTCCACTGGACCGAAGTTAGCTGTGACGAGAGAAACAGACAGGCGGTGAAAAAATAAATACAACAACAAGAATAATAAAAACAATTATGTGCTATTATTTATTAGCCCATGTGGGGAAACTCAATATGTTTCCTTCTGCTGTTGAGACACACACACACACACACACTGTGTTGTACATGCACTTATGGAGAGATGTCAGAGTGAGGGGGCTGCACACCAAAGTGCACCAGAATAGTTACTCAAGGGAAACCGTGGCAGTGCTCAGGAAATTAACTGGCACCTCACCAGCTATCAGCACAACTTCTAGACTTGGTGAATGACAGGACTTGAACCGGCGACCCTCCAGTCCCCAGCCCCAGTCCCTACAGACTGAGCTGCTGCTGCTGCCATACTCCTGTATAAGAGCAGAGGCACCTTGAAGCACAGGCATGCAGAGTCTTCAGCCCTGGCAGGAGCCTCGAGGTCGTTACTCATGGTGTTGTCTTTTTTAGAAGGTTACTACTTTGTGATGATAAGGAAAACAAATCAGGAGTTTCCCAGAAAACAATCACTGGGTAGAGAGTACAGTACTAGTAGACAGAACCACTTCACTTCTGGATAGATAAGGAAACGCAAGGCAAGAAACATCGACACATTCAGTTAAGCTCATCTAAAAAAAAAAAAAGCCTTTCCAGTTTTATGCAGACATTGCCTTACTCATTAAAGCAAACCAGTTAGCTCTATGTTTCTCCTGCTTTAAAAAAATACGCTGAAGTTTGAAAATGTCACTCTTCTTGAAGGCATCATATTGCATTTCCAACCCCAGAGCTTCTCCTGCCTGCCATGCTGCTGTCGATGCACTCACTTCAAACTCAAACCTTAAATCAGTGCTGTTATGGTTATGCTGATGTCTTCCACCAGCATCCGTCCATGCTGTTCTGGTTTCTTATTTGTGCTCTATCAGAGTGACACAGGGGGATTCTGTGTGCTGAGTGTAGAGCACGGGATTTGTTCTCTTAATGTTTAAGACTACTTAAGAGGCGAATGCAACAATTCAACACATTCCCACAAAATCGTTTCAACTTCATAATGAGTGTTCCTGACTTAAGGCTGCCTGCTAATTTCAAGCCCCAGTAATAATACAAATGAGAATGAGAATGAGAGAGAGAGTGAAAACAAGACAGAATCTTATGAACCCAGACGTGTTCAATATAACAGATCCAATTTGATTAAAAGAACATTTCAATCATTTAACATTGAAAAAACACCTTTTGTCGATTCTTGGTCTCATGCTGAATAATTGCCTGTTCACAAAGAGTAATTATCACTGCAGACTCACAAGTAAAGTCCTTGAACTCCTGGAACACCTTGGGGTACATCGCAGCTGACATCACATCCTCGGGGGTGATTTCCTCGCCGTGGGAAGCTCGGAGCCCCTCCTCCAGGGCCTTGAAGTCCATCGCCGGCAGAGAGGCGCCCGGACGACCCTCAATACGGTTAAGGGACTTCAGCACCTGGGATGGGAGGTTAGAAAGAAAAAGAAAGGATAAGCGAGTCATACATGTGTCGTCTCTTCTGCACGTTTACCTCCTCTTAATATCCCCGTGAGACTGTGAAGCATGTGGGATGTGCTGAACTTCACCCTGACAAAACACTGAAGTGACAGAGACACTCAGGATGACAGTGGGAGGAAGGCAGGGTGGGGTGGGTGGCTGTTTTTTGAAGGATGGAGGAAGAGACTGAAACACTTGAATTGCAGCAAATATAACACTTGATACAACTTGTTATTTGCATAAAAGTGGCATCCAGTGTTGTATTAAGATCTGATGTGGTATCCACTTTAGTTGCCTCCGTCTCTCCCACTCTCTCAATTCATCCTTTTCTCTGCACTCAAGTACCATCAGCCTATCACAGGCGGCTGCAGCCGTTGCCGCATTTGTGATAATATAAAAAAAAAGAAAGGAAAACAGACGGATGAAAGAGAAAGAGAGAGAGAGAGAGAGAGAAAAAAAAAAAAAGAGGATAAAATTGTTGAAAGTGGAGGCTGCTAAAGACTAATGACTGGACGTGTTATCTTCCCACACAGTTGCTGATATCGTGACACAACTTGTAGAGACAATCGATCCGAGGCTGCGCCCCCCCCCCCAGTGAAGAGATTATGTGTGAACACGGCCACTGCGCCTCTAAAAAGCTGTTTTTTTTATTTGTCTACCTCTTGATGACAGTCGATCGTATGCAGAGGAAGACAGAGACAGTTGCAAAAAAAATCTCAAACAATTCGCCTCTTTTTCTAATTCAGCGCTACTGGATGCTTTTCAAAATAAGAGTGAAAAAGCTATTCTACCCTTTAAGTGTGTGTTTGTGTGAAATATATTGCTCTAGCTAACATGCTAATTAATGTTTACTCATTTACACTTAAAGCACAAAAATTTTTGTATAAGATGAAACTTTCCATTAACACGCAACACTGACTTTTCCTCATGGTGTTTTTGTTCATATCTTCACGAGTCGGCACATTTATGAGTGCATGTGCGTCCCCTTCCGGAAATCTCCAGACAAAGGGCCTGGGTGCAACGCTATTAGTCACAGAGCTAACAGTTCAAAGATAGCTGACTCATTTGTGTGTGTGTGTGTGAGAGAGAGAGAGACACTTCAAAAAGATGGCATGCTCATTGGCGTCCCTGCTCATTAACATTGTGTCTTCGGAGGATGTCTTACACCTAAACTGTTTGATTGTTTAAGTGAGAGACACAGACAGATAGTGTGTGTGTGTGTGTGTGTGTGTGTGTGTGAGAGAGGAGAGAGTATTTCTGCATGAACAATAGGAAGGAAAGATAAACTTTCCCTTCAAGGTTATTTGCTCCTTCTCCTCATTTCTCTTAAACCACTCAACACACTCCAAATCTCTCTGTTTTATTGACACTGTTTTTCTCTTTCCGTCTTTTCTATTGCGCTGCTCTGAGGGATGTGATGCCTTTCTTTTTTTTCTGTCTATGAACTCCTTTTCTTCCTCACGGCCTCCATTTTCTCTCCCTCCACCCCGCCACATTTGCATCAATCCTCCCACTTTCTGCCTCTTTCCTCTCTTTGCCCTTCTTGCATTTTCCCTCGTCCATTTCCTCCGTCTACCCACGCTGCAAATGATCCGTGCGTGACTAAACTACGACGAGGAAATGCCTCAGTTACCACTTTGTGTCGTGAACAGTTTTTTTCGCTACGCATGCAGACAACTCGTGTGCATTAGGGACTCTCCATGAGGCTGAAATGAATGCATGTGAATGTGATACAATGCTGGAATGACTGCTCGCTAACTAATTAATGCCACCGAAGCGCCATTAACAACACATCACTGCCGCCAGCATACAAAAAATAACCTTCAGCTACAGCACACTGGAATGAGGATATCTGCCTCATTCTAGCATGCAACTCTGCAATGAACTGTTTATGTCTTTGCTTGCATGCAAAGATAAAACACTTCATTCACGTTTGCGGACTGATAAACTAATCACCCCACATGTTACATTAGTAGCCACATTCACCCGCACACCTCCAGAGTCATCGAGCTATCAGCTACTGATGGTCAACAAAAATAACTTTCACTTTATCCAAAGTACATAGGTTGGACAACGTCGTTAAGATTAAGTACTCTGAAGATTTAAAGGAAGCTGTATAATCAGATGTAAACGTGTGCAGCTACAAATAAATAAATCAATAAATGAATGAAAACGTTGCAAAAGGGAAGCAAACATGATTTGTACTAGAACTGAACTCTGGATTTAACTGAATGGGGGGGATGGAGAGTCAGCTGTGTGTGAAAAAGCCTCTTGGTGTTTGTGCATTCAATAGCGAGGGTCTCCCTTGAATGCAGAGTCAGTGTCTGAAGGGGAGATTTACTCTTCTCTGGCTGAGAAGTTGGCAGCAGTTCTACATGTGTGTTTCGGAAGATTGGAAGGCGGGCTGCAGCCCTGGCATGTTGTTTAGATGCTTAATGAACAGTCGAGCTGGCTGGACCCTCATGGAAAAAACATCGCACAACACCAAAGAGTTGGAATGCAAATATCCCTCCCTGCAATGCTCAAAGGGCAGCAGAGGGAAGAAAAAAAGAAATAAGTATGGCAGCCTCTCCTGATATTAAGCATTCAAGTGCTGTCTGAAAACAAAAACAAAAAAAGAAAAACCTGAAGATCTGAATGAATAGAGAATCTGTCCACCATCTTCGTCTAATGGGACTGCCTCCCTGCGCTGTATTACTCTCAGGAGAAACACAAGGCAGACTGAAAGACAGTAATAGAGAGGTAGCAGACGAAGGGTTGCAAAGTGGGTGTCAAAACTGAAAAATCCCTGTGATTGTCGAGGGCTGGACTGCCCGGGAAGCTAAATGCCAAATATTTGATTACTCAATCTCCCAAGGGTTCCCACTGTGTGGGGGAACAGGAGAGATGAGGACAATTTGATGGTAAGGGCGAGGTAAGGGAGGACAGGTGTTAGTGTAAAGAAGAATGAAGCGAAGAGAAGGAAAGGTGTGAGGGAGAAACAGATGAACTAAAATACATGCATGAATAAACGTACAGCCGAGTGACGACATGAGGGCTAAGCTCAAAATAAAGATGACCTTCACAAGGGCAGGAAGTATACAAACATGAGCTAAATTTAATGCTGCTCATCATAACTGGCAGGAATAATTGACCAAAAATATTTGTATCATTTTGTAGCTGTTCATGTTCCAGAGAAATGTTGACTAATGCTCTGTTGAATTTTCAGCACACATAGTGGCATAATGAGCATCCTGTGGAAAGGTCCAGACAGCGTCTCACACCAAATACTTGGGAAACCAGCCAGCGCACCCATAATACGGTATGAAAGGCGCAACATCTGCAGATGTTATTGAGGAATAAAACATCCACTATTTTTGCTTCCTTGGAGACAAAAAAAAAAACGCTACCGTCTGACTTTTGGTGAAATGTCAAGTATGCCAATGTGTCAGCAGGTCTTTGGGAGAATATGACAAATGTGCCTTTATACATGCGTGTGTGCTCGAGCGGCTCTCCCAGCGAGACTTCAGGCTGTTGGCCCCTGATGCGCATGAGAGTGTCTGTTTGCAGGGGTGAGGGGAGGAGACGAGGGAGGTAGACAGAGGTAAAGAAACAGAGAGGAGATGAGAAGATGCTGCAATATCACGCTTTTCTTCACCTTTTACGGCTGTCAGATGTAACCGAGCATGTGACAGAATTTGTGTGTGTGTGTGTGTGTGTGTGTGTGAACCCTTGTGCATACACAAGTTTCTGTAACAAGACTCTTCTATGTGAGCTTGTTGTAGTTAAAGGTAAGAAGACAAAGATTAAAAGGTATTAGACTTTAACTTAATGATAATGATTATGGAAGTAATTAGGAATCTTGAGTGAAATCAATTAGGTGGAGTACAGAATGAAGTGTGTGTGTGTGTGTGTGTGTGTGTGTGTACCTTTGATCTGAAGGGCTCTGGGAATCCTCCATGTGGGATTCCGATGTAACCCTGCAGGAACTCGACAACAGACAGGGGGAAGGACAGCTCATCCGCCCTCTCCTCCACCTCGGCCCTGGTCAGGTTGTTCTGCACCATGAACTGGGCCAAGTCACCCACGATCTTAGAGGAGGGGGTCACCTGTGACAGACAGAAAAGGATTTAACAACGAGAGGAAACATTAGCTCAGGTATTTCTTTTTCACCACAGACAGAGATCAAGAGTTGAGAGATATGATATCTCAGCTTTCTTATGAAAAGTAATGTTATAGCTTCTGTATTATTTTACCACTGCCTTTGTTTAATCCAACCGACATCAGAAAAAGGCACATGAATCTATTCAGGTGTAATCTTGCAGGAAGTTCAAGAAGTTGCAGCGTTTGCAAAATGTTTTCCACTGTTTGTGTTTCCCTGTCAGCGGTGCGCAGTGGAAACACGTCCACAATGTTTTCACCCAAAGAGAGGAGTGGTGACAGAGTTTTGGTTTTAATGAAGACGCTGTCTCTGCAGATTAAGTATTGAGTGACCCGGAGAGGAGAGAGGGCCAGGAGAGCCCGATGAAAAATGACAAGATGTTTACATTTATATCGTCTCTTTAATCACTTGATTTGGCAGCCATGAGCTGAAAGATGTACACAGGGTGTGAAAACAGAGCAAACCTGGAAATGAAGCAAGAAGAGAGAGGAGCAAGACAACTTTTTATGAAATTCACGTGTATTCTTTCATTATTATTTATAATGGTATATTATTATGCTAATAGTAGACCTTATTAGCATAATAGTGATAAGTGGACTCTCTTTTGACTGCGTCAGGACACTGATGCACATATCAAACGCACACATTAGTCTTCAGTTATAATAAAGAGAGACAGAGTCATGGCTTTCTAACTTCCATTAGGGAATCTGGGCCATTACAGAGAAACAGGGGTCAATTAATGTCACCCACACAAAGTAAAAAAGAAACTGAAAACCATCCTCGGGTTACTTTCTACCCTATTCTATAAAGAATAACATCTAAGGGGTCAATAGAGGGAAGAGACAGACAAACACATTTGGAATTATCTTGAGACAGAAACTCATATTTCTCTAATAACTTGTTTTGTTTTTATCCTCAATGTAAAGCACATTGAGCTTACACGTGTAATAAACTTTCTATTCTATATTCAAAATGAAAACTAGTGCGTGTCCCAGCTCGTGGTAAGAGGAAGTTTTAGGATCATTTTGACACATTGTTCTGAAACAAAGGGGGCCTTTAGATATATTTGAAGACAACAATCGCACCGCTAACAAGTGTTACAGACCTCATCGCTGCTGCAAGTCAAACCAAGATCCTTCTACGGATGGCATTTGTTTACGTACACAGTTGGGGAAATGATGCCTTGGCGTAATTGCTTACAGACATTTACTTTGACCAGCGTTAAATATTGCAGTGTGAACAAAATGACCCAAAAGAAATATGCACAAAAAAAAAAAAATCGATCACTTCCTCATCTGATTTGGAACAAAGCAAACGAGCCATAGGTGTGAAAACACCCTGAAACTCTATCATTGACAGCTGAAGGAGCTGAGAGAACAAAGAGTGGGTCCGGTCTCTACAACGTGCCTATTTTGGTGGCAATTAGCGAGCTGAGCGGATATCACCTGGCAGGGAAAAAAGAAAGACTATAGATCAACTATAGATCAAATTGACATTCCCGGAAGAATTTCTCAAAGAAAGAACTTGACATTTATTTCAAATAGTTGTGATGCCAAACTATCAAGAGGAAGACGTGAAGCACACACACACATGTGCTCGTGCAGAAACGCTGCTCTGGGATTACAACAAACTCCCCTGGGGCTTTAGTGGAAGTGAGGCTAGCTGAGCTCCTGAGATCACTGCAGTCTTTGAACAAGCACAATCCAACCACTGCAAGTGTGTGTGTGTGTGTGTGTGTGTGTTGTGTGTGTGTGTCAGGTGTTTCTTTAGTCTCCTGGGATGACAGCATTACTGCATTCCAACCTGTTGGAGATAGGAAATGCTAATAAAGCTAAGGCATCAGTGTTCATGGATAGAATGAAACACTTTAAGATAAAGCTGTGATTTGTAATTGCCAACATATCAATATTGATCTCCAGGGAGTCACTGGTTCATGTATTCGGTTACAATGTTTACTCTAAAGTCAGTTTATTATTTAAGAAGATTTAAGAGAACCAGTTTGATAAGATACACTTTTTAGCACTAAATTAAATTACATTTAATGTATTAAGCAGTGTACACAAATAAGACATGTTTTCTTCCTCTGCAATTGAAGCTGGCTGATTAATGACATTATTAAGGAAGAAAAAATAACTGAGGTGTTTAAGTACCATTTTTCAACTGTACATAGTATGATCACATTGGCTGCAGGGTTTTCCCCATTATGTGACCCCCCCCCGACCTCATTAAAGACTGTGCTGCTGACCTTAACCCTGTGCAACTACTTGTGAGAGCTAGTTGAGCTCATTACAACAAACATGCCATACACAATGGCTCAAAATGCTAAAAAAAAACAAACATGTGCATGTTTTTTTTTTTAGCATTTCTGTGTTAAATTTAGAGACAAATAATGAAGAGAGGCAAATTGAGAATGGAGAAGAGAGGGTCCCCATCTGAAGACACATGACTGTACGTCGCAGTTCTCATCAACATGTTGACCAACAATAGTCACTAGAAGATTTTTTTTCATCTTAGAAGCCAAGATGCATGGCTGTTGTCCCTACACAGATCTGAAAGGGATATAGGTCATTGATCATGTGTTCCAATATGACATTTACTGGAACTTTTTCATTTGCCTCTTCAAGGTTTCTGATGGTTTTCCCTGCTCAACATGTTCTCCTTTATGTTATCATCAACGCCGTTTGTCCCCATTGCTACGGAGAAGCAGCTCTCCGATCACACTGAGAAATCACTGTATACACCTTAAATAATGTACATGTACATCGGTAAACATGAATATCTGGTTTCAGTTCTCCTGATATTTGAAAACTCTTGCGTCTGAAACCACGAGGTGCCTGAAACTGCTCCTCCCATCGTGCAGCTCTATTTGGACGATCATGAAATGGGTCAGGGCCTTACATTGTGGTTATCACCGCAATAGTTATTTAAAAACTGTGCCACTGCAATTAATTTCCCAGTGATGAGCTACATCTTTTACAAAAGGGTACATGTTAAAGTCCCCAATCACTTGGCACATTTTCCAATGGAACCTTGGCAAGCAAATCGGCGCTTTCCCAGCAAGACACATGAAAGGAACGCTCCTGCTGATTCAAACAAGCGTGCACTTTCCTTCAGCACTTCCCTGCTGCTGCACTACCTACGACTCAGTTTTGATTATGTTTGTGAATAGAGGTGATAATGATACATAGCTTTGACAGAATTACTGTTTGCAGAGAAGCCTGAGGGATTCCAATGGGCTGTTGAAACCCCTGTAGAGACCATTAAGTTGGTACAGCTCTGGAACAAAAGTCAAAAGCACTTACTCCAAAACTATCTCCAACACAAGAAAACTACACGATGGTGCATTCCTTATGTACCTCCGACCTTTTCTCCATTGTTTAAACTTTCTGTTCCCAGAGTCCATTTTTCTTACTTTTTCACTGCTAGTTAAAAATTGTAACTCCTCTCTTATTTGTGAACCATCCGTCATGCTCCATCCAACTCCAACTCCCCTAACTACCATCTTCTATCTTCAATCTAAAAGCCAAACTCTTAAGTCTTTTCCGTGTCCTCATGAATCATCTCCCTCCATCGTCCGCTCTTCTTTTCCTCCATCCTTCAGCCAACACCTTTCTTTCTGGATCCACAGTAACATCAGGAGTGTAACTCTCATTATCAATCTCTGCTGATGAATCACCCTGCTCCAACACTCCGGGTTTCCACAAGGAGAGGAGAAGGAAATCTTATTTGGAACTGTGTGTGAGCTACGCATGATGTGTGAGCTTTTCTATATTTTTAGACGAGGACTGAAGTAAATCACATCCCGGTTGTGCAGAGTTGAAAATATCTGATTTCCTCTGTTCCTGTGAAGTGCAGCTCAGCACTCTTCACTGCTGATCCCTCTCACTCTCACTGATAAGATCGTGTCATTAAGTGCCTCGTTTTTTTTTTTTTGGGGGGGACAGAAAAAAGCTGATGAAACTACATTTTGAAGAAGCGTTAAGGTTTTTGAAATCATCCATGGAGTTGCTTTTCTATTAACAAGAGCAACGCTTGTAATTTCTGGAGCAGCACAATAAAACAACCGTATTTTGCGTCACTTTCATCAGATGGACCGATGCAAGTCATCCCCTTGAACCCTCTGAACGAGAAATAGGCCATACGAGAAGGAAAGGCGTTATTCAATATGGAATCAGCAAATATTTGTTGGGCAATAATATAAAAAAAATCCTGTTAAAGCTACGAGCTGACTGAATCAGTTTAAAGGACAAAAGCAGGAGAGGGTGATAGAAGTTGAAATAAACATTGAGGCTTTTGTTTTTTTAAATTAGCATGTCTGATTAATAAGATTTAACTATCCAGAGACCTGAACTATCCCCGCTTATCGTTCATTTTTTTTTTAAATCATAAATGTACACATCATCTTTAAAAAAGACACATCAAGCAGACTTTGGCTTTCTGTGTAGATTCTCATTCCAGCTCAGCTTTACTGATTTGATATGACAGAATTCACACATGAATAACTGGACAGCAGCATTAATACCTTTCTAAATTCAGCAAGCATGCAGAAGCACTCAGCATTGGATCTTAGCGTGTCTCTCCCACATCACTTAACTCTTGTCTGTAACCTCATGTGGTCCCTCTCGCAGGCTCAGATTAACACTTAACACGTAAGACCTGAGATCCTGGTCCACCTCCAGCTCTCCATGCTGACTGACTCTTCTACTTTTCGCTCTCGCCCTACTCTGCTAATGCCTTCTGTCCAGCTTTCTCACTTTCACTAATGTACACCTCTAACCAAAGTGATCCTGATGACTCCACACTACAGGCAGCAGCAATCTGGTACAGTGGAGAGTGAGAGTGTGTGTGTGTGTGTGTGTGTGTGTGTGTGTGTGTGTGTGTGTGTGTGTGTGTGTGAAGGAAGGGGGGTTATTTACATGTGCTTGTATGTGACATGCTTTTCTATTT